ACAGGGCAGGCTTAGTTCATCAGGTAAAAAAAAAAAAAAGAGGAAGGAAAAAAAACCCTCGTGGTAAGATTCTCCACCCTGAAAAGAGCCACGTGCTGTGGATTTTTTTAGTTGTGTGTTGTGAACCCACTGCTTACCAGCGTGGCTGATTACAGGCTGCTTGCAATCGTAGCAATAGAGAAAGTGGCTCATTAGTCACTTTTAAAATAAATTAGCAGACAGGAAGATGTTAACTTTTTCTCTGGTTTTTGTCTGGCCAGTGGTCAGACTTGTTCTCCTGGCAAACTCCGGGCTACCCAGCCAGCAGGGCAGCGAGGGGCAGGCGTGCTGGTGGCCACTGAGCTGACCTCCCTTAGTTCCCCCCTTAATTGCAGATGCTGAGCAGTACTGAACAAGTGGTGTGCGCAGAACTCGCACAGGAGTTGTCCGCGGCTTCTTGACGCCGTTTTGCTTGCTCCCTCAGAGCTGTACGCAGCTTTTTGTGCTCTGATGGAAGAAAATTGGGGAAACTTCCAAATGCCTGGGTGTTGCATTGGTTTTGCTGCCTCCAGCCTTGTGCAGATTAATGTAAATGGCAATAAAGGGATGTGAGACACTGTGAAGCCGTAAGAATGACTGTTAGGAGACGAGTCTGCCTCTGTTGAAGTGACACAAGCAGCCCACGGACCCCTCAAACCCCGTGCCAGCTCTGTGCTTTGGCAAAGGGGGACAGGCCGGTGGGGGAGCAGAGATTGTGCCCGTTCCTGGTACCAGCACCACGGAGGGTCTGATGGTGTAGCGTAAAGCCACGGTCACTCACAGGAGCCCTCTGAGTACCTGTACCGAGCGCCTGATGGTTTGCAAAAGCTTTAAAATGCACAGCTGGGCTCAGAGAGGACCAAGAAAATCTTACCTGCTGGCACAGGAGATGGCAGGGATGAGAGCCAGAGAGCCGAAGCCCTGCCAGAAGATTTCCACCGTGGGTGCCGTGGAGCAGAGCGAAGGGAAGGCACAGCACGTGCCCGTGCCCTGTACACTCAGGGCTGTGATTTGCAAAGTGTGTGTGTGTGTCTAGGCAAGAAGGTGCTGCTCTCTGGCCAGCAGCGTTGCTTGCAGGTACCAGAGCCAGCAGCAAAAGCAGGTTTTTTTCCCCTCCATGCCGTCACATTTGTGTTTGTGCAAGTGTTTTTGAGACCACGGGGGTGGTTGGTGGATATATGCACAGCTGTATGTTCTGTCCATGGGTTAAGCGGCAACTTAGCTGGGGCCACGGTCATTTCTGAGTGCTCGCATCACTAAATTATAGGGTGCCTGAGAGTGTATCCTGGCTCGAGTCTGCGGCTCTTGTTTCACGTGAGTGCACGCTGAAGCCGAAGTTTGGTGTTGGGCTGATACTGATGACGTGGGGTTTTCTTTCCAGAAATAGACGATGAGTTCATCAAGAACTTGAAGGTTTTGATTCCTTGGCTTCTTAGTCCCGAGAGCCTGGACGTTAAGGAGATCAATGGGAACCATATCACCTGTCGAGGCCTTGTGGAGTATTTTAAGGTACTGGCTTATGGAAGAGGAAATTTGGCTCGTTAATCTGTGGCACACTTGCACTTTTGCTGGAATTAAAGGGGAAGGCCAGCTGGAGGAGGTGTTCTTGGTCGAGCTACTAGTCCTGGCTCCCATTGCTGCCGACAGCAACCGCCTCACAGTCACGTATTTGACCATAAGAAGTGGGCAGGGCTGTTTCCCGCCGCCCCCCGGAGAGCTGAGGACCAGGGGGAGGTAGGCTGAGGGCCGTATTCCCATTGCCTTTGGCAAAAGCGTAATTTTCGTTGTCATGGCTACTGGGACATTTTAATGCAAGGCATCAGTGAGTAAGTCTCACCACCTGCTCTCCAGGGCTGCCTGACTCTGTGGCTCCTTCGCTGAAGGACGGAGGTAAGTGCAAATGCGATGGTAGAGATACTTGGCGTAAGTGGTGGAGCGAGAGCCTTGAGCGACCGACCCAGGCCACCCAAGGAGTCGACCTTCAGCCACCTGACGTAGCAATTTCTGACAGAGCATCCCCTCCCCAAGCCATCTCGTGCCGGGAGCGTCCTCCTCTTCTGTGCTTTTAACACCCTGCGGGAGCTGTGTCTGGGTACTGGGCGGGGGGGTGTTTGTGTGCGGCTCGTGTGTGCCGCACTCAGTGAGATTTCGTTTTCTGCGCGCTGCTTTGCAGGCCTACATCAAGATCTACCAAGGGGAAGAATTACCGCACCCAAAGTCGATGCTGCAGGTACGTGAGCGTGAGCTGGTGAGCGTTCGCCAGCCGTTGATGTCCAGTTCATTGTCAGGGGTGTCCAGATAGTGCAGCAGGGTGGTTTTATTTCAAATACCTTAGTGTGACAACCCAAGAAACAGCCCTTTTTGGGAAGTGTTTGGCAGTCACCAGCCTGGTGCGGCTTAGCAATTGGCTGGACTGCGGTGACTCGCTGTCCTTGCACAGAACACCAGCCAGCTTAGCTGAAATTCCTCCCCTGCAGGTAAAGAGCCTCCCCTTCGGCTGCGGTTCTCGGAGCCAGCCTTTGCGGGAGGTTGCAGCTGTAGCTGTTTACACAGGGCTGAGCCTTTTATCTCTTTTTCTTGCTGTTTCCCACAGCCAAAGCCAAAGTTTTTTGTTGCTCTGGCTTAGAGGGGAGGAATCCTCTCTTCATGCCGGCTTTTGCCTGGGGGGACTGAGGAGGCTGGACGTGTAAATATGGGATGATCTTATTTGGAGTTGGTGAGAGGCTGGGGAGAGCGCGCTTGGCTAAGACGAGGGAGCTGTTTCATGCTGTAGGTCTGCCCCAGGGTCCTGTGCGCATGTCCTGGCTGCGTCCACGTGTGGACCGCGGGTACCCAGGCAGCCAGTGGCTGCTGCTCTCTGCAATTGCCCTCCCCACCCTGTCTTTCTGCAGCTAAACTTGGTACCCCTTTTGCCCTTCTTGCAGGCCACGGCAGAAGCCAACAATTTAGCAGCAGTTGCCACTGCCAAAGACACCTACAGCAGGAGAATGGAAGAGGTAGGTGGTGCTGAGCGGCTCTTCTGTCCTCGGGATGGGGGGAAACCTCCCTGCCTGGGTTCCTGGTCCTGCACGGACTTGGCCAGGACTGGTCACAAAGAGGGTCTCTCCTATGTTCGTGGTGGAAAAGGGGCTTTCTTGGAGGCTGGAGGAGAGCAGTGCCTGGTCAGGTGTCGTGGCAGGGTGACGGACGAACGGCCGCTGTTTCATCCGATGGCAGCATTTTGCCAACCGTGTGGCCTCTGCTGACTTTGCCTCCTCTTCCCAGCGTTCCCCAGCCAGGGGTAGACGCAACCCAAAAATGTGAGGGGGTGGCCTGGCGGTGCTGCGTGACCGTGCAACCCCTGCTAGGGCTGGTGCTAATTAGGGGCTGAAGTCATTAAAACCGGCTTTTCGCCTAGGCCCTGCCCTGTCAGCCCATCTCTCGGCTCTGGTGAGGGGCTGGTGGTGATGTTTTATGATGAAGCTCAGACCCCAGCCTGTCTCCAGCGCTTCCAGGCTCCCATTCCCTTCATCAATACGGGAGATTGCAGCCTCTTGGCACGAAAGGGGTGCAGAGCTCCTTGGCCAAACCCCCCATGGGCTGCTCTGGGCCTTAAAACTAGTGTGTCCGTGCTCTGAAGCAGAAGGAAAGTGCTGTGGAGTTTCCAGCACTGGAAAATGCTGGGGCTGGGGGTCCTGCCATTCACTGGAAAATTCCCTGCCCTTCACTGGAAAATGCTGGGGCTGGGGGTCCTGCCCTTCACTGGAAAATGCTGGGGCTGGGGATCCTGCCCTTCACTGGAAAATGCTGGGGCTGAGGGTCCTGCCCTTCACTGGAAAATGCTGGGGCTGGGGGTCCTGCCCTTCACTGGAAAATACTGGGGTTGGGGGTCCTGCCTTTCAGTGTAGCTCAGCCCAAGGTCCTGGCTTAGGCTGTGAGTGACCTGAGCGAGGGGGCTGTGGGACACAGATTCCCAGCGCAGACCCCCACTGCCCTGTTTTATCCTGCACCTGGCAGAGCTGTCCCGGATGGGCAGCGCAGTCGTGGAGGTCTTCCTGCAGGGTCTAGTGGTCCGTGCCAAACCGGAGCCTGTAGAGCCCTGATTCCAGTGGTTTGCGTGGACAGAGGACAGGATCTGTGGGTACTGAGGTTTCTGGAGTGATCGGACTGTGTTTTCCACGCAGGTCTGTGGTGGGGACAAGCCCTTCCTCGCCCCTAGTGACCTCCAGACCAAGCACATGGAGCTGAAGGAGGAAGCCGTGAAGCTGTTCCGTGGGGTGAAGAAGATGGGTGGGGAAGAGTTCAGCCGCCGCTACCTCCAGCAGCTGGAGAACGAGATCGACGAGCTCTACATCCAGTACATCAAGCACAACGACAGCAAGAACATCTTCCACGCTGCCCGCACCCCCGCCACGCTCTTCGTGGTCATCTTCATCACTTACGTGATAGCTGGAGTCACCGGCTTCGTTGGCTTGGACATCATAGCCAGTCTGTGCAACATGATCATGGGCTTGACACTTATCACACTGTGTACCTGGGCATATATCAGATACTCTGGGGAGTACAGAGAACTGGGCGCAGTAATAGACCAAGTGGCCGCAGCGTTATGGGACCAGGTAGGATAAAGAGCTTTTGATTTACAAACCACGACAAAAAAAAAAAAACCCACCAAGTTGAGTTTTCCTGGGGCTTTTCCTCCCGTTTGAAATGGCTTTTTCATGGTTAGATGCTCCAGCCGGGCCTGCTTGGGCAGATCCAGCTGCTGGAAGGGGGTTGTGCTGGGATCAGGGAGGGCAGACCTGTGCCCTGCCTTCTTCAGGACAGCAGGACGACGAGTTTTAAGCCGTTCCTTAGGTGGGGAAAGCAGGGACAGAAGAAATTCAGGTTGTGGGGTTGATTGTAAAGGGGAGAAGATGTCTTAGGGACCGGAGGTGGGACTGCCCTGTGGCGGTAGCACAGGTAGGCAGCACAAGGTGGGTCGGAGAGCGGGAGTGAACCGGAGGGAGCTGCGTACCGACCCCCCCGCTCCCCTGCTCGAGCCTGAGCCTCTGAATCCTGCCCAGTGTGAAAGACAAGCTGTGTAGATCCGGGCTGGGGATGAGAAAACTTGCAGCAAGCTGGTTTGTTCTGCCTTTTTGTTGGTTTTTTCCCTTTCTTACCCATCCCCAAATGCTACTTTGTGGAGCCTCAGACCTTGCGGGAATGGGGCAGCTTTGCCTGGGGTCCCCCTGGGGCGGCGTTCTCGGTGTGTGTCCTTTTTGTCTATGTCCAAAAGAAAGACCCGTGTCTCTCCCCTGGTTCAGGGCAGGGATTTTGGCTCTCCCTGGCTCTGCCAGAGACCAAGGCCAGGTCTCGGCTCTGCCTCTTTTGGCCCTGGGTCCCGCTTTCCCCGGTACAGCCGCAGCTGTGCTGGGTCAGTTGGTCTCACCCGCTCTTCTCTGATGTCTTTTTTGTTTCCCAAACGACATGAGAAAGTCTTGGTTGGGCCCCAATGTCAAACAGAAACACCTCAAAAATCTTAATAATGGTCATAGTGAGTAATCACCCACCCCGTGCCCTCCTGCGGGGCTCTGCCCGCCTTGCAGCGCCCGGTCCCAACAGGGTCACCTCACCACAGTTTCGTGCTTCCCCTCCTGCAGCAGCCCTTTCCTCTCCCCATTGCAGAGCTGCTGGGCAAAGCCCGGACCCTGCAGGCTCCTGCCGACCCCCTTCACCCCAGCCAGGGGAGCAGCCCGTGGGCCGAAATAACATTTAAAGGGCTGTGACCGCCTCCTGCCCTTCCCGTGGCAGAGCTCGTGGGTGGCTCGGCCCTCAGAAGCCACCGGCTGCAGTTGTGGGTTTTATTTCTGTAGAGCTCCGAGGCAGAAAGGGCCGTTCTCGAGAGCTTGACCTGCTCTTTCCCCACCAGCGAGGTTTTGGTTGAGCGTGAGCACGCCTGCCCGCTTCCCACTGCTGCGCAGGGAGCTGCTAAACGCGCAGCTTTGGGAGGAAACCTGGAAGCATTTATTCTTCAGGTCCTTCGTTGCAGAGCTGGGTAGTGGTGTGGCTCAGCTGAAACAAGGGTGGTCACCCTCAGCAGCCTGAGCAGCCACAGCGACCCCCCCCCCATGGCACCATCAGTGCCCGTGCGGTGGCTCTTTGCTCGGGGACACTTCCCGGGTGCCTTGGGGATACACTGGTGTGTTT